CTGTCAGGCATGTCCTGTGCGAGTGCCCGGAGTTATCGTCAATAAGAGAGTGTGTGTTCGGGGAGTCTTGGCCTATACCTGCCGATATAAAGGAGATGTCTCCCAGCGACCTGTCCACCTTCCTGTAAAGGACAGGATGGACAATGATCTAAGAGGACAACTCCTCGATAGGATGTACAGTGGGTCACATGTAGCCTAAGTGCTTTCACTAAGTGGGCTTACACTCACCCTCCCTATTCTACAGTTACAGAGAAATGTGATTTCAAAGTTACTGAATTATTCTTTAGCATCACTTGTATATACACTGGACCAATCTTCTTTTCGCAATAACGACTTTAGTGTTTCTATGTTATTGGTTGTATAGTTTCTTAATAGTTTACTTTCACTGTGCTTACTGAACTCAAATTCAACTATCAAACCCAAGGGACGATCGGATAGTCTTAGAAGCTCCATGGATACATTGGCAAGATCGTTATTGATAAAGATGTTATCAAGACAATTTCCTTTAATATGGGTTTTTCGTTTATCATTTGATGTAGACCAAATGACATGAAGAGTTGTGTTATCTTTTGAGTACTTAAATCATTGATGTTGTAATGAATCTGAAGCCGGCCCTGACCGTTATCTCAGACACCAAACGCATGACATCACCGCGATAGAAGCGGTCTGACTAGCCGGGAAAATACTAGGCGAGTGCAGAAACCTCTAGATAAATTTAGAAAGCTCGTTAGCGGTATATAAGCCCTGCTTTTCGTCCATAGGGGGAGTCAGTCTGTACTTAGAAAGTGAATCGTGCGTTTAAAGAAAGAAATCTAACTGTGAAGATAAATTAAGCGTTAGTTACTAAGTACTGTATATGAATTAGTTGTGATAGTGAAATATTGTTAATAATAAATTTGATTAAGACAGTTGATTCTTTAATTCGTTACAATATCATTAAAATGTACATTGAAATCGGCTACCAAGTAAATGTATACATTATTATTAAAATTATCTGCAATTTCTAATATTTTATTTATCAAAAATAGGAACTGATTCAGCTTTTTATAATCAGGAGTTCTATATACATTTATTAAAATCAGGTTTAGATGTTTCACATAACATGCTGAGACTTCACAAATCTGTTCACTTGAGTATTTAATAATAAGGGCATTGATATCATTAGGTATGTAAATGCAAGACCCTCCATTTTTTGTTATTTCTACAAAAGTACTGAAGTATGAAAAATTATAATAATCAATACCTATCATTTTTTTCAGCCAATGTTCTGTGAGGCAGACTAACTTTATTAAAGTGTTGAGGTTCAGAAGATGTTCAATAGCAAAAACTTTGTTACTAAGACACTGAATATTCTGATAGAAGATAGAGACAGTTTGGGGAGAACTCCTAGTGTTGCAGTGAAAATGTTTAAAATTGCCATTATTAAAAAAAAGCTAGTTGTTCACTGGTTTTCGTTTGTTGCTGTGTCAGATAATATATATGTCTTTTTCCATTTCAACGAATTAAGTTGTACTTATTGAGCCACTTGAGGAACTGGGAACATCCGTCTTCACTGAGCTAACACATCTCCTACCTTACCTGAATACTGGTTTTTGGTAGGGTGTTTGATACGGTTTCCTCCTTAGAGTAACACCTTGTAAACAAACTTATACAATATTGAAAATCTTCATCTTATGAAAAACTCCGATCTGTCAGTTTCCACTATAATTTTCACTTTCAAATTAACAAATGTCACTATTCTGAATTGAAAATATATTTCAGGAAGCAGCTGTTATCATGAATTTACTCAAAGTTCAGTATTATAAAGAACTACTCCGAAGAATGGGTTTGTATTCCCAGTCAAGAAACCACAAGAAATATTTAGTAAATGTAATGAATCTGTTGCTGGCATGCATTCGAAATCTTCCTAGTTTTTCCCTGGAAAAAGTGGAGGTGCTTTTTTCGTGTGTTCTTCGAAATATTGTGTTGCATTTTATTGACGAAGATAGAATAATTGCTAACAAAGCTATAGAGGTTGTAACAAACATCTGTCTGATAAAAGGTAACCCACTGCTCAACACAATTTTTAATGTAAGTTTATGTGGACATTTTACGTTATATAAATAACGCTTTATATTTTAGCAAATTCAATGCAGTCGAAAATTCATAAATATCACTATTGAGGCCCTATTATTATCTTTCAACCAAATTGTAGACGAAAAGTGGGGAAATTCTCCAAGGAATCAAAATTTGCTTGTAATAATGTCACGATTCTTAACTTACAGTCAAAATATGAATAATGAGCTGGTCCAGAAGGCAAGACTTACAAACATTATTGAAACGATCAACTCTACATTTTTGTATATCTTTATAGACATTGAATTCGATATGTAAAGATTGCACTCCATTCTCTCTGAAACCATCTTTACCGATTCTTCATGAGCTGTTTTGTGTCATGGCTCTAAAAGAAGAAACAGATGTTGCTCGAGCTGTTTTGAAAATAATTTTCAGGAATGCCATGCATCAAGATGCCACCTCTGCCGCATTTTTAGATGTAAGTATGAAAATGCTTTTTTGATTGATAATATGTTTATTGTTTAAGAATAAAATTCTTGTTACAAACACAATGTCATAAATAAATATCAACACGTTCAGTGGCGTTGACGCCATACGGCGTTTTTGTGCTTCCCTAGGTACGTGACTTGACGCCAAACGGCGTCAAAAATTCANTTGAAATGCGTTGTTTTAGACCTCTTTTATGAAAACTATTTGATTTTCGTCAGGAGGAACATTCCCCATTACTTCTGCACCGGAGACTGTTCGATTTTCTTCAGCTTTTACGTATTTATTTTCCCGTGGTTTCTAAGCGGTTCATTTCCAAATCGACGGACACACTGGATTAATTATATTTCTTCTTTATTCACTTCGACTTTTATACTGATATCAACGGAACTTCACTTTGCAACTGATTACATTTTTACTTAATTTCACGAAAGCTTTCACTAACAGAGATGGTTTCACTTCGATGGATCAAACTGAACTGATTTACATTTTACTTTTATTAATTTCGCGTTACTTCACTTATATTAACGGAGATAGTTTCACAATGACAGATCAACTTGGACTGATTTACATTTTACTTTTATTAATTTCGCGTAATTTCACTTTCACTTTTGGAGATAGTTTCACTTCGACGGATCAACTTGGACTGCCTTAATGGAGACTTTTTCGCTGTATTTATAGCGCGAATATGACGCAATTATCTGAACACGTGCAACTCGCAGCTGCGCGACTTCCTTTGTTCAACGCGGGATTTTGACCCATTAATTATCGACGGCAAATTAGCGGTGACAGGTTTTATGATTATTACACCAATACCGACAATTCTTATCTTCATCGTCGGTCGGAGAGCATAGCGGCCTTCGCTTGATTAAGCTAATTGAGCTCGGACGACGTCGCGGTTCATTTTACGTTAATTAATTAACTTGACTCTTCTCTGGGCCAACATACGTTAATTGAGCGAGGTCTGATTTTTGGTTCGTCACATACTGAAATAACCGTAACATTGTTATTTTGCCTTTTCAGTGCATTAGATATTATATGAAACAGAAAGATAAAAAAGAAGGACGAAAATCGGGCTTTTGAACGGTTTTGACAGCGTAGTTTGTCATACAGAAATTTTTTATACTGAATGGCGTTTGTATGCGTGTGGCGTAGGCGTGCGTGTGTGTTGGGTCGAAAATAGCAGGAGTTTCAGTTTGCAATTCAGAATCATGAAAGTAAATTGCAATTCATCATAGAACTGGAAGATGACAATACTATTCCTTTTTAGATACAAAAATAATTCGCAGAGATGACAATTCATTGATAACAGATGGGTAGGTATATCAAAATACACGTTCGGGGAGACATCAATTATATCTCATTTCATAAAAAAAAACAATGAAAATGAATCTAATTGCCAAAAAAAAATTAAATCAATAAATTACTTCATCCTTCACGGGTGATAACTGTCATCACCCGAAGACGATTGTAGATCTGCCGCAATACCATCACTCCTAGAACTAAGTGTTTCTTAACAGTTTTATAGTGGCAACATAGAAGCTAAAACACTTTAAAACTTTTGCTATTGATACCAAATTATTTTATAGAACGACGCCATTTTAAAATGATAGCAATTCGGAATACTGCGAACGACAACTCTCAGAAGTTGAGAAACTTGTGCGAGCTAAGGAGAAATCGCACTGCCATCTGGCGGTATACGTTTTCGTAACTAAAGGCTAAAGACACTTAAAAGCACATTTTCGTAAAAACTTTGCCCTGAAAACGATCCAGTTTCTAGGCGTTCTAGTGTTGAGTACTCAAAGATCACTATTCTTGATGCTATCCTAATGATTCGAGATGTCTGGAACCAACTCGAGCAAGGGTTAATTTTTTACTGTTACAAACGCGCTGGCTTTGTGCGAAGCAATGTAAAATGTAGCATAACTTCAAACGCAGATGATTTAAACGAAGAAGACGACGTACCGCTGAACATTTGGGCGAGGGCTATTGATAGGCATCAGTTACCCATAACAATCGAGAACTTTGAACAATACGCGAATGTCGATGATGTCAATCCGAACAGCTAAATAAAAGACTAATGAGCTTGTGTACCCTTTACTATTAATGAAAAAATCATTATTACTGAAATGTGTGTTCTTAACAAAAAAGTGATGAATAAAGGGCCCCCTTTATTCACGCCGGTACCCAGACCGGGGTGGTTCGAATAACTACGTAAAGGGGGATGTATATGCGAAAAAAAAAACCAAACTGTCTCCCAAGCAGGAGGCGACTTCATCAAAATTAAACCAACAGGAGGAGCATTAGTCATATGTGTCTGAAGATAGGAAGCAACGACCATCCAAAATATATATAGAGAGAGAACTATTTAGTTTCTATGCCATTCGAATTTACTTCATATATACTATACTGGAGAAATAGTCTTGCCGTTTTGTGCGTCGTCTGGTTAGTACGACATAGTATATTCGGTCCCTTGAAGGGACATATAAGGTTTTGGCTTTCTACTTCTATGACAATGGAGAAGTAGAAAGCCAAAACCGTTCTTTTCCAAAAAATAATCTCCCCTAAAAATATACCCCTTTCAATTTAAAGACATTTGCCTTATTGCTGGTTTCTCCCAGTGTGTCTGAAAGCTACTTCTTTGCATGACCTACACATCTTTGTATATAATTATTTTTTTTAAATTGATTGTTTTCTTCCTTTCCTTGGAAGATTTCCACGTTTTTTTGTATGAAGATGGAGAAGTAAAAAGCCAAACCCTTCCTTTCACAAAAATTCATATCTCCCAAAAATATACCCCTTTTAATTTAAACAAGATTCCTATGGCTGGGACGAAATCAAATAAGCAAATGAATGTCATCGATGACATAAAAGTTTAACCAAGCTTGTGAAGTAAATACCTCTAACAATGAACGCTACGAAGTACTCTCGTCTTCTACAGGAATTTCAGAGCCGTCTCTGTCCAAATTCTCTTCAATAATATAATTTCCGAGATTAGATGAATCACCTTTATTATTTAAACGGGGATTTTACAACGTAAAACAACTACATAAAG